AGTAATATTTTTTCAACATACTTTCCCAGCATTCAGCTATTTAAACTGTACTTCTTCCTGAGCAGGAGCTGCGTCCTTTGAACGCTGAACTTTCAAGCTTTCCTTTCATGAGGGACTAGTGGCTGAAACACTAACTGTAAAATCCACGCTCAACACACATGAAGGACTGAGTGCTGTACAAAACTGAGCTGTGAAAAGTGTCCATCTCGGAGAAGGTAATGTTATTTTAGTTACGAAAATGTTCAATAGTTACAATAAAGCTTATGCTGTACATCACATCATAAAGGTACACTGTACCTGCTGTACTGGAATTTTCTTTCTGTTTAGGTGTATAATGGCAAGGAAGGACACACATAGCTTAAATGTATTTAGACTACAACTTCACTAGGTCATTTCACAGTAACACTTAAAAAGGAACAATAATTCCCCTACTGGCTTAAGGATTACTATTTCATGCAAGACCAAATACCACATGTTCCATGTTTAGTCTTCCAACTTCAAAGGCATGTCACAATGTGTCAGTATCGAAAAAGGCAGTCCAGCATTTCAAGCAATCATTAAACCAAACAGCATAATCTAAGTTACAAATCCAATAGCTGCAGGAGGGCCTCATGGACAGAATGAATGTCACCCACCATTCTATTGATATAATGTAGGCAAACTGCTGCATGTTGGAAAATATAATCTTGAATTTTATATGCAAAATTAAAGGCATGACTGTCATCACTCAGCAACTAAAGATCTGGGTTATAACAGGCAATTCTTTGGAAACCACACTTCATTACCTAAGTAGAGCACATTAAGAAAGGCACAAATAAAACAGCGGATAGCAGTTTGTCAACGTACACTCCTGTGAAATAAGAGCATTTTAAGTACTTGATGCAGTTCTGGTTTCTCAATCTCAAAAAGGAAGACAAGCCAGAAGAGAGAAAATGAAGACAAGGACAAGGAATATTGCAGAGAATCAGTTGTGGCCCTGAAGTTGCAGTTCCCAGGACAGCAAAGCCAGTATGGAACTCAAACGTAAACATTCTGAGTCTCTGCAACACTAGGACAGAGATGAAAAGCTTGCAGCTACAAAGTTTCATCTTGAGAAAGATTTGAGTCTTCACTCCAGGATAACCTGTATGTTTCACAGTTACTACCAGTTGTGGTCTTAGATCCAGAAAATGAACATGGACTAAATAACATAAGCTCTTATGGAGAAGGAGTTTGTCAAGTCTGAAGCTTCTTGGAGTACTTTCCCAGAATCATATCAATAGTCATGCCTTCACAGATCAGAAAGAAAATGAATGCTATAGGATGGGGTTTTTATCATCCTGTGTGACTGATAATACCAAAAACACCTGCTATGAAGCAGGTGTAAAGGGTGAAACTACTGCTACACCAACAGTAATGGCACGGTTGCACATTCGGAGTCTGGTAATCGATTCTCTCACTAGCTCCTTTCACAGAGAATAGAGATCAAAGCCCCAAATTCTCATTTTTGGTAGAAAGGTAAAAAAAAAAAGAAATTCACTAAGTTATCAGGTTAGGAGTTCAGAGGCAGATCCATGTCACACTGCTCATACACCAAAATTAAAAACATTTATTATGAAATATCAGAAACAGAAAGGTGGTTAAGGCTATATTGCCATGTACGAAACATGGCAGCAAAGAAAGAGGAAGCAATTGTGATCGAACGAGATACTGCTCTCAAAGAACACCACTGCATATGTAGGGGACTCAAGCATATCCACAGAGTCAGAGAACAAGGTTTTCTTAAATAAATACTTTAAAAAATGTGCTTATATCCATTCTCAACACTGAAAGTGCTTTGGAACAAAAAAAAAGAAAAAAAAAAAACCTATTGATCTGCTCTGCTTCTAGTATGAGACAATTCCATGCTTTTGGTTTTATTTTTTTGGCTGAGGCCACAATTTCTACAGATATGAGACACACTCAAAATTCTTCCAAGATGCTTTTTAGGAAGATATGGAAAAAAACCCCACAGTTAACTGGTTAATAAAATTAGATAGCTCTCCTAGGAAAGATGTCCCTTTAAGGTTTTTATCTTAGTATTATCATATAGGAATATCAGGAATAAGCTTCTTACATACATAGTTTATTTTATAAGAGCTTATAAGCTCCTGTTTTTACACACTGCAAGCCCTCAGTTCACAGGGACACTTTCTAGCTGCACAACTACAGTGCAAATAAATCCTAAGATGACTCTTAGAAGGCTCAGATCATTGACATCAGACTCAGTAAAATCAATTATCTAAAGCTCCAGCCGAGCTCCACATGAACGCATGAGTACCAGAGCGGGGAAAAAACATCAGGTCTGTGAAGGAACAGTCAAAATAACTGTTCAGTAGCCCTTAAGTGAACTTATGAAATATCCCCCAGTATTAAAAGGGCAATATAATCTAAAAGCATAATGAGGAGCACCTGGGAAGGATCTGCTTGAGCACAAGGATCAAAAAAAAAAAATTAATATCTAAAACTTTTACCCAGACAAACATTTTGTGTAGAAAAAGCTGGCACTGCTGGCACATCTGAAGAGACGGCATGCATTCCAGTGACAGCCACCCACCACTCAAGATGTGAAGCAAGGGAAGGGCTGTTTCATTTGTGCTTTCTGTGTCGGCAGATCTAGCAGGCAAATTCAACATGCCCTTTGACAGGTCCCAGAACTATTTTAGCCAACCAGGAGCAACCCAAACCTAACATACAGACTGTCAGCAGTCAGATCAGCTGAACTGTGCACTAGGAAGAGACCAAACAGCTTTCAGGCAGAGAGACTGAAAGATCACTTCATATATTTCCCAGTCTATTGTTGTTTTGAAGATTATCACCTGTAAATGACAACTCCAGACAGGCAGTAGCAAAACCCTGCCAAGGCTTCCTCAAACTCTAAACTCTGGCCTGCTGGCATGACAAGCCCTTTGCCTCATCCATCTGCACCACGCGTCTGGCACCGATAAGGAGGAACCTGCTACCAATCCACAACTCCAGAAACTGAAGATTTTCAAAAGTCTTAGTTATACTGAGAGGGAGGGTCACAGCAGAATCACTCTTCCATTCCTCATTTCATATGACCTTGTCTGCCTCTCAAATGTGGCTTATTGTTGCTGCTTGGAGAAGCAGCCCGAGCACACATTTGTATCTAAACCATGTGACAAGCCAACGCCTCAGTCTACAGACATACATATTAACCTAAGGTTGCATCTTTGTCATATCCAGATCAGCATAACTTACTGCTGTCAAATTGTACAATACCACTCCCTCCATCCTTCCCCAGGCAAAATCCTGATGCTTCTCTTACTTCTGGATCTGCCCATCACACAGCCACAAGCTGGATCAACTTCTTCACGTGACAGAAGCGTTGATGTGTTTGTTTTCTGTCAGACCAGAGAGTTTATCTGACTCGCCTTCTGACTGCAGGATCGCTAGATCTGATCCAAAGCAAAAGTCAGGAATACACAAACTGAGGAGGACAAAAAAGGGCAGCTCATAGGACATAGCCCACACGTTGTTAGGCTAGACAAGTTATAATGTGAAATTGTACCTTAACAGAGAGACCATGGACAGGGTATTAAGAGTCCACTCTCCAAGAATATGAATCCCTGAGCAAGAGCTTGTCGCCAAACATCTGCAAAGGTTTCCTACGGTTTCTCAAGAAACAAGATAACACTGGAGAAATGGTTACTTGAAACTTTGTGTCCAAAGAGCAACAAAGCTGGTGACACTGTCTCTAGAACAAGTCTTATGATGATCAGCTGAGGCAACTGGGGTTGTTCAGTCTAGAGAAAACGAGGTTGAGGGACAAACCAAGTAACAAGCGATAGGACAAGAGGAAATGGCCTCAAGTTGCACCAGGGCAGGTTAACAAGCATTGGAACAGGCTGCCCAGGGGAGTGGTTGAGTTTCTATCCCTGGAGGTATTTAAAAGACATGGAGCTAAGGGACACGGTTTAGTGGTGGACTTGACAGTGAAGTTAATGGTTGGACTTGATCTTAAAGGTCTTTTCCAACCTAAATGATTCTATGAAAATACCTCTCCTTACAGATTTCTTTAGTTAGCTCACTCAGGACGACACACTCTTCTCTAGAGACAGCCTACAGCCAAAGATCATACACTTCAAATCATATATTGACACTGACCCTTAAGCAGGAGCCATCCCATCCATAACTATATTTTACAGCTTAGACTCATGTCCCCATTGCCACAAATTTTTAAAAAAAAAATGTATCAACCATGCTTTTCAATCTCTTGGGCTGAAGTCGCACCACCAAACTTGACCTTGCATACAAGTTGTACAGATTTAAAATGGATCAGTCTCCTGGTTTTCCTACGAGGGAAACCCCTCCTTCCAAGACAACAGGGATCTGTTTACCCTAAAAAAAAAATCTATAGAACTGTCCAACAGCCTCTCCTGAGCTGTTCTTGAAAGAGGATGGGTGACATACACTGGGGACAAAACAGCATTAAGGTAATATTTGTAGGTGTAAGAATTACCATCAGGACTCAACTGATTACTGTTTCCATTCAGATAGAAGATAGTTTTCAACTTCCATTATGCTCCACATTGTATTTTGAAGCTTGAGAAAAGATGCTGGTAAAAGTGATTTGAATCTACCCTTTATCATTCTGTGGGAGTTGTTACTACAGAACATGGACAAGAAAAGCCCTGGGATGAAGGACAAAAATCTGGCTCTCTTTTTTCACACTTGAAATAACAAAAGTAGTAGCTGGCTAGAAAATCTTAAGTGAACTTCAGCCTGTGCTCTTTTGAGTTGGACTGAACCTGAAAAAGAGCAGTAACAATGATCACCCAGAAAGATACGAAATTTACTGAGATTGTCATCTATAAAATAGTACTCTGAACACAGATATTTTTCCTCGAAAGAGCCAATACGAATTCAAATCTATAAGGTAGTTCAAGAAAAAAACATTCCACTTAAGAGAATTATGAGAAAACTGAATAAACTTAAGTCAGCCTGGGGAGTTCAACCTCCTGTGAGCTCCTACTCTTTCATCTTCATTAGTCTCTGTTGGTCCTTCTATAGTAGAATGTCATAGTCACTGCTCTTAAAGGGAGACCATCGTTTAGTCTACCACTAACAATCCTAAAAAATGAAGAAAAATGGATCAAGAGAAAGGGCTTCTGGATGGCTAAAGCTTTAAGTCTGGCCATCAGATAAGTGCTTATATGGAGCCTGAACCCTTCCTGCCTAACAGGGGGGAGAAGGATCTTAAATATACCTGGATTTCCCAAGTACATCAGGTTTAACTACAAACTGAGACTGAACAGGGCCTGCTGTTGAGGTTGTGCAACACGCTTGTTACCAAACAGCTCATCATCCGCCCGCAGGTTCTTTGGTATTTACAAGACTAGTGCTGAGGGAACTAGTCGCATAGAGGACTTGGTTGAATGCTGTTCATCTTGTGACACCACTCCCTTTGACAGAATGGCAAACCACTGGCACGACAAGTTGAGACCAGACATCATGCAGAAAGACAGGTCAGATGTACAACATCTGAACCCTGCTGCTGGAACTTCTCCCCAGGTTTGAAGTTGTGACAAATTCCCAAATACAGTAAGAAGTGTACACATGAAGTATACATATTGATTACATCTGAGGTTTCCATTAAATGCATTCAACAAATATACTTTTTCATATCTGTAATAAATGCAGGTACCTCATAAGAGAATGGCTATAACCTTTGGAGAATCACAGAGATGTTAATGAAGGCCAGGACTCAAGACAAAAGCAAAACTTCAGGAATCCCTAAGTTGTTCTATCTATAGTTATATCAACTTCAATCAGGAACAGACTTGTCAGCCAGTATATTTAACAGGTACACCTTTAATCCGTCTTAAAATAGCAGTCTCAAATGCCATCATGTAACACTATGCACCACTTCTCCTGTATCTCCATCACAGGCACAAGTGCAGTCTCAGCCTTGGTGAATTTAACACCACAGAAAACCTAGAGGATCACAGGCACTATTAAGTTTTAAATTCGCAAATGAAAGACTGCATTCACTTTGTGGTAAACTTATGACAGCAGAACTATTTCACCTACCAATGCCAATAATACTAGAATTGAGAGTAGTTTGGAATTGTATCTAGATGGTCTACGACACTTGTTACAGTCACCCCTGCCTGTGATCAGCCGGGGAGCTCAAAGCCATTGGGATTCCAGGGAAGTCTCAGGGAAGAGATAACTCCTGATCCAGTCCCAATTTGTACTGAGAGTTGGGATAACAGATGCACAAATGAAAACACAACACAGCTGACATGCCTTCATCCTTCTCCTCTCCTTTTCAAAAACCAGAAACTTTGCAAAGGTCAGAGCTGAGAAAGTACTAGCCGCACAGTGTTTCTGTGAATGACATTACGAACTGCACTAAAAACGGCACATCTACAAGCATGTCACTTTTAATGGCAGTTCTGAAATTATAGCTGAACTGAACTGATACTTTTAATACCTTGATCACATATCAAGCCTTTTCAAACAGCATATGGTAGATGCAATTAAAAAACTAAGGATATTTATGACCTTGTCTCGTTTTGTGCCTAAACAAGCAATTTGATCACACGCATTTCTTTCTACCATAGTACAGACATGCATCATAACAACCAGCAGATCTCTCCTTGAAATACTTTATGCAGAATATTTGAGGAAAGACCATTTATCTTCTGGCTCCCTTCCAACCTAAGAAGACCTCACGTTGGACTCATCTTGGGTTTTGTCATGCTGTCTTCACCTCAATACTGCACACAAGTACTACACCTTCATACCACCGCACAGGCTTAATTTCTGGGCAAATTTCAGTACAGCCACAGTTAAACAATAAATAACAATATTCCTTTTATTGATTTAGACCCAAACATTCCTAATTGATTACAAAGACAAATGGATATTCAAAAAGTGGACTAATTACCTCTCAGAATCTCTATTTGGATATGATCTTGCAAGTGGTGATACTGCATGGCTAAGAACAATGTAGGCATAATCAAAAACTTGTTTCACTTGCATGGCACCGTAAGAACTTCTGCCAACGTCGTTTCCTGAAATAATGTGACAGTCATCAGATCATCTTTTTTTTTTAATATTCAGTAACCAGCAAATTATTCATTCTTAAAGCTCAGAAGCCTTAACAACACAGCTTAACTCCATTTAAACTGGTTAGCCCATCCTACTCGCATCAGGAACAACTAAGTGTGTCTATTCGATAAAAGAAGCTAACCTTAGGAATGACACTCAATATTATGCATTCAATTTTTAAATTCAACTTTAAAAATACCAACATACTAGCACCTGAAAGAAATAGAACAGATATCAGCTTAAAACTCATATACGCTCTCTTTTAAGAGAGAACCTACTAAGCTTAAAGCACCATGTCTCACTTACCAGTACAGTTTCTGCAGGCCAAATTCAGCTTAAAATTCCACTTGTGCAACCACATTATCTTGACAGAACCAGGTATACTTACATGAACCCCTACTTCGCCTTATCAAAACTACAGATTAATAAACCAGCTCCTATAGATTATTTATCTCCACAGGACAAACCAGTCTGTCAAAATCCACTGTAGAGGATTCCAGAAGTTCATACAATATTGGGTTTTGATCAAGTTAGCAGCATTTATTAACTGTCCCCTCTATAAACACGAGGGGCATTTAGAGCAGAACTCCATCCAAATCCAGTGTCATGTGTGGGGAGCTGCAGAGTTTAAGAAGATGCTAAAGCTTCTGCATCAGTGACAATGTAGAGGCATAGGTCTCCCATTTGACACCTGGAAATATCATGCTATTACTAACAAGAAGAAATATTTGGGGTCTTTTTGTAGTTATATTTGGCACCAGACACCAAACGTTCACTGTCACCACTCAATTTAAGGAACACTAAAAAAAATTCCTTCAAACTGCATGTCTAAAATACAGACTAGATCTTGAGTGGGTAGAAAGCTGTTTACAGTAAACGGTTGCCCTTCTTCAGAATGATGCTTGAAATGCTGAGAACACTGGAAATGAATGAACCACCAAATATATTTATTTTAAGATTGAAAATCAGATTTGGGCCTATGAGTAAGTTTTAACAAAAAATCTGCTTTGAAAAATTAATGGGTAAAGTACAGAATCTATCTTTTGGATAACTGAAACCACTGAGTCCAAATTTGACTTTAGAGGAACCCTTCATCTCCTGAAGTATTCTGTCCAGCAAGCCATTATAGACAAATATGTTGAGATCTCCTATCCAGGGAAAAAAAAAAAAAAATAGAACAGCCTTGGCTTTACTACCTGACAACACATTTTAGTCCTTCAAGATTTTCTAATCATAATGCCACTTTAACAGAAAAGTATAATCAATAGAAACAGACTGGGAACATAAACGCATTTTGGAACACAGAATTTCTTTAGTAATTTATATGGTCAAATAAAAACTGGTCAATAAATACTTCCTGTTTACTGAAGTAACTATCTTGTTCTGAATGCACCACTGCAGTATCCAGCAGCTACTACGCTCAAAATTATAGAAGTCTATTTACAACTGGACTTTATCCTAAAGCAGAAACCAGTGTGGGCCTAGGACAGTGAATCTAGGAAGAAGCACATTGTAGTTAAGTTCAGAGCTGCACTACAAAACAGCAGAGAATTTCACAGGACTTAGTCCAAATGCAGCCGAATAGAGAACACATTATTTCAGTGGTCAATAGATCAGAACACCAAAATGTTAATTCAACTAGAAAAATTATTAATTCAGTACAGGTTTTCCAGGGGTAGGACACATTGTGGTGTCCTGCAACAATTCCACCTTCTACAAATATATGAAAAAAATTGAGAAGTGGTAGAGAAATGCAATATGTACAAGGGGCTAAACACACACAGCTGCACCTACCACTAAATTCAAGTCCATCTGCAGTTGCACTCCATGATCTTAAGAGTCTTTTCCAACCTAAATGACTCTATAAATTCACATAACATGCAATTTGAGCATGTGCCAAGGCAGCTGCATTTATGATGCATCCTGCACGGAGTTACACCATAATGAAGACACTGCTGCTACAAACTGTTAGTTACTCCTTGTTACCACCTCTACTTTTGTGCCAGTGAAAGAAATCATGAACCTTCCCTAATCACCTTACAGCAGACTCCGGCAGTTTAGTTTAAACCACCAAGGAAGTTGTGCAGAAGTCTTGACTGAAGCACATTTGAGAACAGAGGCAGGACAGCTCACGCCATAGCACGCCTAGGTTCCTGGATTGCCTCATTCTGTACCTGTAATCAGTTCCTAAAAATGTCTGAATAAACACATCTTATTCCATGACACAGTCTGCAGAGCTTCTGACTTGCACTGCAGCTGAAAAGCAAGTATGGAAGCCAAAGCTTCTATGCAAGCTACTGTCAACTGTACCAGTCAAGTTTGTATGGAGGTGGCCCTATCCAATCCAGAAAGCAACATGTTAAAGAAGCCAGTGGATCACATACGTGCATTTGCTGTCCTGAGCAGGTTTTCTCCTGAGCAGTCATTCTCATTAGCAGATCACATCTTAAACACCTGAGCATCCTTCTTTTGTCACAATCTGAAGACTGATCAGTTAAAGCACATAGCTCAGACGCTCTCACTCTTTAAGAAAATCATAGACTTCAGTCCTCAGAAGCACATTAGTAGACAATGATGTGTTGTTATGTGGATAACTGAGTCCTCATTCTTTCTTACAAAATCTTCATCCCTATAGGAGCGTGTCTAAGCCTTCCATCACTCTCTATCAGTATTACCACTCCACCAGGTAGCCTTCCATTACCTGAAGAAGCTTTAAGAATATGGCCTGGAAAGCTAAAGGTAAGACCATAAGCTAGGACTGAAGCTGATCCATTTATATGAGGCTGTCATCTATCAAGCACCTTTATGCAACATCCAGTATTAAATGGGTTCTCTCAGATGCTAATTACAATGTATTTGTGTGGTTTTATAAATGCATATATTCTATATACACACACATGTATTTACAGGTTCTAATGACAAATAGCAGATATTGAAAAACTGCAATGAACACCTTTGCGCAGCCACAAAGGCTACAACAGATAAACCCCATAGTGCCTATTAAGGTTTAGAACTTTTGTTAGTCCCGACAGCAATTCAAAATGAAGCATAACCTTTCCTATGAAAGGAGCAGTGCAGATGGAACTCCATACCTTAAACTGCAATTTAGCCACTCTTGCCACTGCCAATATGAACTAAGATCAAAATCATTCCTGTTCCGAGAATCAGAAATTACTGGAGGGCCTTGACAACAACCTGGCATAAAATAATAAGCTTCCCTAACAATCTGCTGAATAAATGCCAATTTTGTTTAAAGATTCGTCACCTGCAACCAGAGTCATATCTTCCAAGACAGGATACTGCTAGACTGATTTCTGTATAAACTTCCTTCAAGCTGTTGTCTACCCTGTTCCATGTTCCTGTGAACAGACTTTTGAGTGCCTGGTTTTGCAGTTCTCCTAAAAATATTTTCACTTTTTACACATCAAAGAAAGGACAATGACTCGGAGAAACTGAAATGGTGGCAGTTACAAGGTGTTCCTTGGATGATACTACAGGGAAAGATTCTCATCTCACTACCCTGTCCTAGGACAGTAACTCAAGATGAAGAATCTTAGACAATGTATGAAGATCAAGTATGAACCACCACTTTAAAATGTATCAACTAGATTAGTCTGTCCTCTCAAATCCAGACTTCAACACACTTCCCAATTCCAGTGCAGACTTGTGACATCTTTGTTGGAATGTTGGTTCTCCAATCACAACAATCATAAAACCCCATCACCCACTAATCAGTCTTTGAGAACCTTGGAGAAAACCCTACAGCACTCAGGCAATCTGAGTAAAAGCCACCACAACCAAAACAACAATACAACATGATGATGCCTGTTCCTTCCAAATCTAGGAACTAACAGAATGTACTGAGCAGGTAGAACTGAAGTATCATACCCGTCCAATGACAACATTCATCTGTTAGTAAGACATCATCATTTCACACCAAAGAAAAAAGCAGCTCCTCCAGCTTCAAAGAACTAATCCCACTGTACTTAACGCTGTCCCCTACAAGACTGACTTAAATTAGTCTTATGACTTACAGCTTTCAACAGTCTATTGCTGAACTAGTACATACACTCACAGGAGGGACTTCTACACTGCTTAGATAATCTGGATTAAGTCATCTTTGAAAGTCTTCTTCCAAGGCTTAACCAGCACTTTAGAGAAAGCTGTATCAGGCTAAAAAAAAAAAAAAAAAAAAAAGGCAAAAAAGTTTACAAACTTGTGCCTGCAGTGCAAAAACAGGTTTGAGGGAAAACCTCTATAGCATTTTGTGCTAACTTAAGTCAAGAAAGATCTGTATCCACTCTTTACCAAAATACCTGTTCCCATCTGCTCCACAGTACAGGTACTGACACTCATGGAGTTAGATACTGAGTGGATGTGACCACAACCCAACCAGGCAGAGATCATTTCTCAGCTGGGCAAGAACCCGAACCTTTGGAAAAGACCGGGACACAAGCAGTAACAGCAGTAACCTAACAGAAATCTACACTTTTACATAGACTTGACAGGTACTTTTAGATACTGTAGTAACATGTGATTAAGTCTATATGTGAGGAGGCTGTATTTGTGAGATCCAATTCAAAAAGCCATCCTATGCACTCTACATAACTTTCCCCCTAGTTCCATCAAGCAGGTTCTGAAGCTTTGTGGTAGCTGCCAGAAAATACCCCTATGGAACATAGTGGCCAGATAACTTCAAGTTATCATCAGCTTTCATTTCCCTCACCAAAATACTTTCTCTCCTCTAAGAATTACATTATCTGAGCTCCTATAAACTCACATAAAATTTAATTCTTAGCTAGCTGTGTGCTCTCAAAGAGCTGGTATCTTTCTTCTAAACTACATTTCTTTGCTCCTGCAAGATTTATGCTAGGAGGAACAGTTCAGAGCCTCTTACTGGACTTGCAGTTCTATGGGTTTTTTAATTCTCTGAGGAGTCATTAAAGAGAAGAAAAAATTCCAAAACACTATTAACAGTGATTAAAACCTTGTGCAGCATACATAATTTCTTCTCTTTCAGACGTCAGCAGATAGGAAGCAAGAGAACTGGAAGACAGAAAAAGGTTTTGACTGAAGAAATGTGGCTCGTACTGCTACTCAAATGGGTCTTCAGCCAACCAAGTACCCCACACCAGTGAGAAATATCAATAACACAATGAAAGTTCTGCAAAAATCACACCTATCTATGGCTGGCCAAGTGCTAGAGTCATGATGAACACTAACTCAGAGCTACAAACAGATCAGAGATGTCGTTAGACAAATGAGTATCTTAGCTTGCAACCTGTTCTAGAGAACTATGAACATTCCGCATAGTGAGTATTTAGAAAGGTGCCAGACTTCAGCTCCTGATCCATGGTATTTGCTTTAAAAATGCTGTACATAGCAGTCTACCCACAAGACATGACAGTGTGGAGTTTGAGTGCCAATTACATTCTAGAAATACTAATGCTGAAGTCCAAATCAACTGAAAATTGACTTTGTTTTGGAATTGCAGCTACTTGTGACAGTCTAAACAGAATCCAAACCGATCACTATAAAGCTGGAAAATTTTTTCAGGAGTTCAGCCAAAATTAATCTTGATTACTTTGAAGGTTACTGAATTGAAACTGTATCTTAAAGAAAAATATATTTTTAGTATTTGCCAAAGTACATGCAACTATAACTGGCATTCTCTACAGGTCCCTGCACAGCACAGAAGTCAGTTATGCAAACCACTCTTCACACCAACACCACAATACAGCTGCTCCGTTCCTACACACTCATGGACATACACGGATGTTTCTGTGCAGTCTCTACGGCATTGCCCTGCAGGAAAGGTACCTCATCTGGGGCATTTCTTTCCCATATGGTATAATTTATCTGAATTAAGGCACCACAGATTGTGGTGGGGAAAGTTACACCTTCCATTCTCATTCTCCCATAACGAACAACAGAGAGCTGCTCCTACTAACAAACCCCCTTCCAGGATTTCCTAGCCCTCTTTCTTTTGCTACCCCTCAGCACGGTTAGAGAGTAGTATTAGACACAACACAGCTCGGAATCTCTTAACGCGTTTCAGATGTGCACCGTGTGCATGCAACTCAATTTCCTCAGGCTGTGAACCCTGGAAGACTTCAGGTCCTTATCCCTTAGCCCATCTCTGTCAGTGTACCCCAACACCAGCAACAGTCTCAGTGCAGCTTCCTAAGTCATTTGACAGACTTTAAAGGACTCTACCACAAGCTGTGAGAGCACAAGTTGAGCAGAGCTCCGGAACATTGCAAGAAGTGTACAATCTTACCAGGCAGGAGAGGATCTTCAATACATAGCATGGATGGTCTGTATCCATTAGTCATGACTTTCATGATTTCTTCTTTGGCAATATAGGCACCTCCATTTTTTATTCTAATACCAGTTTTCAAGTAGTTAAAATTCCTTCCATAGAGTTCAAAGAATTCTATCAGAAGCATTCCAAGGTTTTCATCAGCTCTTCTGGCATCAATTCTTGGATGCAGCTGTGACAGAACAGTTGCTAATTATTAAAAATTAATGCTTTTCAGACCATAATACAGTGGAACAAAAAGCTCTCATTTAAACAGCTGAGTATAATCTCTTTAAACAAGCCTGAATTGAGTCATTAATGCTTTATGCACTTAAACTACTTTCACATAACCAACAGGGGGCAGCACTTCAGCGGTATCTGGAAGCCAAAGAATTCTTTTCCTCCCTTGCTTTCCAGCTTTTTGAGGATTACTAAATTCTTTTCCCTAAGCCAAAAGCAATAAATAAGTACTGCATACTACATTACAGCTTACTAACAGAGTAATACCTGATTTTTCACAGAAAATCCATTGGTCTTAATGCTTTCATAAAGGGGGGAGGGGCAGTAAATCTATTAACCCAAACTGAAATACAGTTCTCTGTCTCCCCATATCATATAGAATATGTAAAACCTATAGTAACATTTCGATTAATCATTAACAGCAGCAGAATATGTAGGGTTTTGCATTATCACAGCTGCTGAGAAATGCAAACATCGGACTTTTACATACGTGTACAAAGCTTACTGTCATAAAAATGTACTGGAAGAAGTTACAACATTAGCTACTTGTTCAGTTACCTACAATATCTGCCAGTTTTAAGTAGGTCAAAACCTACCCAACATGTAATTAAAACCAATGTGACTGTTTGATTTCATAATTTTAATAAGCATTGAAATCAACTATTCTGCACATTTAGTATCAGTACTCTCGGAAGCAACAGACTTAAACGGAATCCTGAGAGATTTACAAAACAGCAGCAAGATGATTCAGGTGCTGTAACAGGCTGCCTGGGAAGGCAGCACCATCGAAGTCACGGGCCTGGTATAGAAAGCAATGCACAGCCTCTATGCTGTTCACAGGGCTCCTGCTGCTGTTCGAGTTCACGCTGTGAACAGAAGTTCTTAAGACACTTGAGAGATAGTTCATAGGAACTGCCAATGATCAAAAATCCAGAGCCGTAACAGTAAAGCTGTGCATGGCTAGAGGAGTCTTTAAACAGCACCTTAACAGGGCATAAATACAGAAACAAAAACACTTTAAAGAACACAAACAAAGAAGGAATATACTTACCTGCAAGAAACTAATTGCCATTAAAATTAGGCTGTAAGAGCTAATTCCACCAGTAAAAACTTCATTCAAATCCCTCTGAAGGAGGAACTGTTTTAATACTAAAATCAGGTAAGGCAGCAAAGAATATTTCTGCAAAGCAAAATAAGCCTTATCAATTTCAGTGTCAGCATTCCAAAACAAAGGAAGAACTACAAAGTCTCGACACAAGAAGATTCATCTTCTAATACAAAATGTTATTTAGTAGTGTGCTATAAGTGCTTCCACAGAACTGAAATATGCTGCCTTTTTTTTTTTCTTTACTTCTAGAAACAGACGAGCAAACTTCAACTCTTCTTTGATCAAATAGCTTACATATCAAACTTATTTCTGCCCCTCATCCTCAACCAGGAAGATTTTTATATCCTTCTTTGAATGTCAGTGTCACTCACTACAAAGTTTTCCATCTAAACAGTACCTCAGAGCATAAAAGTACTCTTGATTTTAAATAATCAAGCATCACTTAAATAATAATCAAGCATCACTTAAATTCAAGGTAAGCAAAATTCAGACTTGCTTTAGAAGCAAAATTTAGTACCTATCTCAGATATAGATATGATTGTACAAGTCCTTTCAATGTGCAGGTTTAACCACACAAACACCTAGGACATGAAAGCAACATTGAATATATACCAATGTAAAATAAATGTCCATGTTTAATTAGTATTAATGAATATAGTCCACAGCAATACATTTTCAAAAGTCTTAAGCCGTATCAGAACAGGTTAGCTAAGCATCTAGGACATGCTTGATAAGCAGTATAACATTCATTATGTGGCTGATACCTTCATGTATTCCTTGATAAATCGAGCTGCCTTCACACCAGTTTCTACATTAAAACTGATGTCAACTTTCACTTCTGTCTCCTGGTCAGTCAGTTTTATAATTGGTACCTGAAAACATTAAGACAAAGTTTTATGAATCCCCAGAAATGCAATACTGGTGCTATTCTCCACCTTCCTCTTTTAAGACACAGGGATACTACTAGCCCAAATGAATGCAACTATCAAGACAAGGAAACATTTTTGAGACAAGATAACAATCCTAACTTGACTCACACCTTTCAGTGAGGTGACAAAAAACACAGGCATGTAGAATCACATTAACTTATGATCATTCAGGTGCTCTCCCATAGCTATTAGATACCTGCTTTCATAGCTGCAATGCCAGTGTTTTGTAAGACCACTTAATTTACTTAATGACTCACTGCTATTAATAGGAGACATTCTACTCATAACCTGTAGAAACTGCATTCATCTGACCCAGCACTGCACCATTCACTTGCTACACCGAGAGAAGACTAGCCCAGCAGCAAAAATAAAGCAGTCTGTTGGTTTATCAGGTTGAACTGGTTCACTGCAGAGTCAAACAAAAGCCAGAATGGATAAAAGCAACAACACTTCCTCATCTGGAAGCAATAAATTATTATAAAACTACTGAATATGTAGTTCAGTCTCACACCACAACCTTGACAGCAGTATCCTGCAAAACCATCTTACAACCACAACCTAAACTTCAGCTGCTAACATTTAGTTTAAATTGAACTTCTCATATTTTTAATCTGAAATAGAAAACAAAAAAGAGCATAAGTATTGCATTATTTTATACCAACAGCAGAGGGAATAAAATAAGGCAGGGTAGTAAAACTGATAAGGCTTGCCTAGTGTCATCTTCCCTTGCTGGCCAGTATGACTAATTCTGAAAATCCAACTCATTCTCGGTTAAATCAAAGATTACCAGAGCTACTCTTATGTACTGCTACTCCAACAGAAGCCAAAGGAATCTTCTGGACCTAAAAGAGTCACTCTCTTTCAGAGTCCACAAGACTAACAGAAATCTGGAATACTCTTAGTCTCCTGGAGAAAACTCCCCTTGCTCAGGAAAATAAACTTCCCATACTTGAAGATTTTAGTATATCCGATGTGATTCATTAGGCTTACAAGACAGGTGCAGGAGATTGCACATCACTTTCACAAATGAAATGAAGGTCTTAAGTGGCATATTTTGGAAGGGAAAAACAAACATCAGGTTTGGAACACTTCACTCTTCACTATATCAGAAACAATACAATGTGAAAAGTCAAAGTTTCAAGCTAGATGGCTCTAGTTGCTGGCCCCTGGCTAAACAAAGTCCTCTCAAAGGTCAGTGGAAAAACATTATACAAATAGTTAACTTGTTTTACCGGACATTTTGCAAACATTGTACACAGTACACAGAATTACTCCAGCACACTCCAGCATACAGGATTACTGTTGTTCACGTAAAAAACTGTGCTATTGCTAAGCACATACAGATTCTACTAAAATCTTGCAGATCAAAACATTGTGCTTAAGACAATTTCATTTGCTTCATGAATAACGAAAACTATTTATCAACACAACTTAAAGAATTTGAAAGCTTTTCAGTTCAATACTCCAAAGACTATTACCTACCGTAGCTTTATCAAGTACTTTAATGGAATATGGCTCAGCCACATTGTGTTTTCTCAGTGCTTGCTCCAGCAGCTGTAAAGGGGGCCTTTCCCATTTCCCAAAAACAACTAGATCAATATCACTAGACAAAAAGAACACAGCAAGAGATCCATTAAGCCAAAAGCATAATACTTCACACAAAAAAAAAAAAAAAGAGTAAAATTAGCATTCTACATAGTACAAGTCCTCCAGGGTGACCATTTTGCAACTTTTCATCTAGGTTGCCCACAAGCTCTCTTTAGCAGTATTAAGAGATGGTCTAGCTTGTTTTAGGACCCAAAGTAGTATTCTAGTTTCTTGCTTCCAGTTAGAGTTCTTTGATCTCCTCTCCTCTTCACCTTTATGGCTCCTTCCCCTTTAATTTCTACAGCCCAATCCCACTCCTCATCTACCCGGGTGGACAGGCAATGTTAACAGCCCAGAGAGTTTTTATTAGTGATTATTATTCACAGAAATTAAATTTCCAGTGCTTTCTACTGAAAAATTTAGTTGATGTAAAGCCAACACACTCTTTAAGATACAGCTATACAGGTTTTCCATATCCATCTATTTTTGAGAAAAGACAACAAGCCTAACACAGCTGTGATGACTCCTCTAACTTTGCACAGTACCTGTGATGTGACACACTCTCAGTAATTCACCTTATTTAACAAAACATAATCTTTACACAGGAAATACTGAACATTCAATTTCACTGTATCTTGAAAACAAAAAGCCAAAGGCTAACCCCAGACACAAGGAAGAAAAGCTAATTCACCAGAGGGTCAGTATATACCTAAAGCAGTAAAGTACTTGTAAGTTCAAGTGTTCTTGCTTTTGTCACATGGGACAGTAGGCAAACATTTCACTGGAAGCTTGATAGGTTTACACATTTCAATCTAAATTCCCCTTAGAAGTTCACCATTACCCTAAAAGAAGAAAAGTTCTACATAAAAGTAAATTATTACTTACCTAGTTGGAAGATAAAGCCCTGTACTAAAGCTGCCAAATATCTGGACCTGAAAAAAAAAAAACCCCACACCAGTGAAGTATCTTGTAATCATGAATGCTCACTCTATTTTACTTTCACAAGATTTAAGATTTTTCTGGTCTTGCCATTTAAAAGTTGTTGAACTTACTTTATTAAACAGTCTCAAGTCTGTACAAATACACTTTCTCTTATAGATACAACTTTAGACAAAAACACTTTTTTAACATGAAATAGCTACCTATCTTGCTAGCAACAGAGCACAAACTTTTGCAACAAATCCTTTTCACTATTTATTTCCAGTTCAACATAAGTATGAGCTGTTAAAAGTTTCCTTCCTTCCTGTTCCCTTCCTTCCTTATAAGACAGGTTTACTAAAATTGGAGTTTTTTAAAAAGGTTTAAAAAACAGCATCTAAGCATATAACTCAGATAAGCAAGAAGACTCCAGATTTTACTGTAAGGATGACTATGAAATTGTGGCAGGTGTTTGTATGTGGAAAAGAAGGGAGAATATGATATAAAAGTTCACTTCAATGAAGTGACCTACGAAAATACTGAGCAACACTGGGCCATTTCAGTGTTCGTATCTATTCCCACAGTTAGAAAGACATTATTACTAAGGAAAAATCACAGGTGAGGATGAGGTAGACAAACTTTACAATATCTTTAGCTCAGTACTGTGGCTACAGTCCTCAGTCTTGATCACAGAAGGCTACAAAATGACAGTGGTCTGAAATGTTTTTCTGCTTCTTAATGACAAAGACAATAATCAAAGAGGTTATGCTAGAGATCATCTAGTTTACATTGCCTTCCTTATGGATTTTTTTTTTTGTTTGGAGAAAACTTACTCTTTGGGTAATAAAGGGTTTGAAAACACAACAACTTTGCTTGCAAGGTAGTTCAGGAAGTTAACTACAATTTTCCCACTAAAGCAGGGCTAAAGTAATTCCCTAAATGTGAAATTTGTGGAGTACAGAAGAAAAAAATATACAGGATCTGTTAACTGTGCTTTCATAAAAATGTTTGTATTCACAAATATGCACAGTCAAGATCCTTGCAGAAATGGATACACGGGTAGTCAGTCTCACTTCAATATTCAAAATGAAGTTATGCAGAGACAATCAATTTAAGCTTTTACTTTAAGAAATGCACTTCTTTAAGTGGACAGCTCTTCACACTCCCAGCCCTCAAAATGAAAAACATCAGCAGCATCTCTTAACCTTAAATCTAGGTTTTACATTTCCTCCACTTTTTAAAATAAACTGTCAAGTAGTGCAAGAGATGTGATACTAAGTCACTTGCCTTAAGTATGAAGTTTTATCTGTTTATTTCTAAAACACAGAAAGATAACAGCTAGGTTAAGTGTACCAAACTCTACAATTTTCTAGAGAAGTCAGCACTTAAATTACACTCACATCAGCTGTAGGCCAAAGATCTTTGATAACTGTTTCTATTCTTTTCACCACTTCTCTTCTCATAGCCGCTTCTTCAGGACGAGGGGACATGAAGTCATAGAAGTCAATTATTTCTTCATGTAGTCTAAAGGACAAAGTAGTATTAGTTATAAAGACCATTTCACTGAGTTCCAACAAAAACAGGCCAGAGGCTTTTTTTCATATCATCACTTAACCAAAACCAAAAAAACCAACCTTCAAGAAAGGCAAATGCCACAACAATTAGACTTACATAAGGGAAACTGGAGGGGTTAGGATTTGGGACTCATATATTGACAATTTTTGTGGCAGCACCTCACAGTAATCTCAACAATACCCACACATCAGCCCTGACCATATCACCTAAATGCTAAAGATGTCAACACACAGGATGCAAACACAAGTAGACATTTGCCAACCTTCTTATGAGTTCAACAGTGAAGGTCAAATTCAATTCCTGAATCCCAAAGACTATTTTCTTTAAAAAACAAAGCACAGTCTTCAAAACTACACCATTATCTAAATATGAAACTGGACGAGAACACTTAAAATTTTCAAGTAGTTTTATTCTTCCAGGAGTTCTTAGCTATGTGGATGTTAATGTTTACGCAGACTTGGAAATAGGCCACTGGCACTGATCACCTTTTTGTAGAGGGCTATAAGAAGGGCATGTGAGTATTCCTTGATGTGAAAAAGTCCACTTTGAGAAACAGAAATTCTTTTGACCACTCGAGCTCTTTATTCATATAGGAAGTGATCTTCCAACTGAACTATTCAAAGTGAGAAGCATTAAATATGTTCTCAAGTCTAATGTATATTAACACTAGTGTTATGTAAGGAGTTCTGACACTGGACCATTATACACCTGTTAAGTCCTTTTGCTTCCCTTCTCCTCATACTACAGAACCCTCCCTGCCAAATTTGACAGAAGATCAGTTAGAGTTTTCAGGTGAATGTCATGTTTGCTTTCAATGGAAAAGCATCAAATCATGCAAAACACACCCAAAAATACTCCAGGTAACTACGGCTATGGTATCTTAAAAAAACACCTTTTGGCTGTTGACATATTTCTAAGATCTCACTAATTCAAGAAACATATTAATTCAACATTGTAGTGAAATTCAAATACTGTCTTAAAAAAAAAAAAATCACGTTCAATCCTTAGTTAAACTTACTTAGCCTTTCAAATAGGAAAGTTTTATATATCCCTACTAGAACTCAACTCTTCCCCTGAGAATTTTGCTCATTTTACTAGGGAATTCCCACTCTTAACATACAGCTTCCAACAGACCATATGATCAATTGAAATGTCAGGATTCCTTTCCATATACAAACAGATTTTAGCAGCAAAACACAAAGATACTTCTAAAGAGTATACTATTTAGAATTATTATTTGCTCTTTCTCTCTTTTTAAACTGAGCCTGGATCCACAAGTGAACATTTAACTACACAGAGAACTCAACTAAATGTTACAATCTGTTGATAAATCTACTTAATTTCAAAACTTCAGAATAAGACAGAAAATACAGAGTAATTTGTTCCTATTACGTTTCTAGGGAGGAGGGTTTTTTTCCCTCCCTTTCCAAGATGACAAGATCAATGAACAAAATACTGGAATATACCTAACAGCAGTGAGGTCAAACAACCTCCCACTTATTAAAACCAGTAGCAGGCAGATACAGGGCAAAAGCAAGAAAAGGCAAAGCAGTTTTCCAGTTCCCTTGCAGCAATCCTTTCAAGCCTCCAGTAGTGTCATTTGGCATACTTCTGGGGTGAATCTCAACCATAATGTGTATTATTAGCTCAAAGGACTTTTCTTCCACTGTTTTTCCCAGGTCTTTTCAGTCCATTTATGCTTTTGTCATTCATGGTATTCTATGAGAAGTTAAGTATGAATCAGAATAAAGAAGTGCTTTATTTTAAACTGTTCCCTGTTAATGATTCTTTTTCTTGGGGGGCAAGTTACTAGTGGCAGTTCTTCTCTGAACATGGAATCACAGAATGGCCTAGGCTGGAAGGGACCTTAGAGATCATCTAATCCAACCTCCCTGTCATGGCCAGGGATGCCACCTCTCGACTAGATCAGACAACATATGGGGACCGAATGGGGATCGAACCTGCAACCTTGGTGTTATCAGCACCACACTCCAACTGACTGACCCAACTGGCCACTTCCCAGGCTCTCAATTTATAGCCACTTGTCTATATCAACCAGCTCTTTTTCACGTGAGCAATCCTCAGCTGTTTTTCTCTCCTTACGTAGGAGCATGTCCAAAATTTGATCACTGATAGAATCATAGAATCATATGAGCTGGAAGAGACATAGAAGATCGAGTCCAGCCTTCATCCCAGCCCTATCAACCTACTAAACAATTCCCCCCAATGCAACATCCACCTGTCTCTTAAACACCTCCAGGGATGGCGACTCAACCATCTCCCTGGGCAGCCTGTTCCAATGCCTGACAACCCTCCCAGTAAAGAAATTCTTCCTAATATCCAACCTGGATCTCCCTTGGCACAATTTAAATCCAACTCTCCTCGTCCTATCACTCACCACTAGGGAGAACAGACGAATCCCCGCCTCTCTACAACCTCCCTTCAGGTAGTTGTAGAGAGTGATGAGGGCTCCCCTCCATT